CAGGAGCAGGAGCAGGAGCAGGAGCAGGAGCAGGAGCAGGAGCAGGAGCAGGAGCTGGAGCAGGAGCGGAGCAACCAGATCCAGTTCCAAATTATCCGACGTTCGTCTCTATCCTCTCTCACCGCATTTGTGATGCTCGACGAACTCCGCCTGCTGCTGCTGCTCCTCCTCCTCCTCCTCCTCCTCCTCCTCCTCCTCCTCCTCCTCCTCCTCCTCCTCCTCCTCCTCCTCCTCCTCCTCTTGCTGCCAGTAGACTGACGCGGAAACCACCATTTAGCGAGCAGGAGTGAGATTGCCAAGATGCTCCGCAGCAGTCAATGAGCGCCTGCATCAAGGATCAACAGCAGTAGCAGGAGGAGGAGGAGGAGGAGGAGGAGGAGGAGGAGGAGGAGGAGCAAGACGAGGGGAAGGAGGAAAAGGAGGTGGATGAGCAGCAGCATGAGTTCTGGTCACCTTGACAGTGTAAGTGGCAGAGAAGTCAAACCGAGCGAAGGGAAGAACTCTGAAAGAAACTCAGAGGAGGAGAAGACTGAATGCGAAGGTAGGTAGAGAGAGGTTGAGATCCAGCAAGATCGAGGTAGGAGAGGAGAGCTGATTGATATCAGGGAGAAAGATTTGGAGGAGGAGAGAAGAGAGGGAGGAAGAAGCAAGAAAAGTGGGGAGGATAGATGAGAAGAGCAGGAGAACGAGGACGAGGACGAGAACGGGGACGAGGAGGATGAGGATGAGGATGACGAGGACGAGGACGAGGACGAGGACGAGGACGTTGGAGGAGGAGGATGTACATACTGGGAGACTCTGGCTGAGTTCGAATTGATGAAGAGCAGATGGTGATCATCACAGAAGAATCGATCTGACGAGAAGTATGAGGAGAGTAGGAGTGGGGAGGGAGGAGAGGAGGGAGGAGAAAAAAGGAGAGCAGGGAGAGCAGGGAGAGCAGGGAGAGCAGGGAGAGCAGGGAGAGCAGGGAGAGCAGGGAGAGAGGATTGAGTGGAGGGGGGGGATGGAGGGGGAGGAGAAGAGGGAGAGGGAGAGAGGAAGGATGCAGGAATGGAGCAGGAGAGCAGGAGAGCTGGAGGAGAAGTCAGGTCCAAGAAAGCACCTGGTCGGATGCCGATGTCTCTTGCAAGGCACATGATGCCGCTGTCTACCTCTGCTCCTCCCTCCTGCAGGAGTTCAACTTCAGTCCAGAAACAGGACGAGATAAGGGGTGCGATGAAGGGGAGGAGGAGGAGGAGGAGGAGCAGCAGCAGCAGCAGCAGAAGGAAGAAGGAGAGGATGGCAAGAGCAGGAAGAAGAGCAGCAGCAGCAGAGACAGAAGGGAGAGGAAGAGGAGCAAGAGGGAGAGAGGGAAGGAGCAAGCAGACAGCGAGAAGTGAGGAGGAGGAAGTAGGAAGCAGGAGACAGGAGGAAAGAGGAGAGGAGGGAAGGAGGAAGAAGGAGGGAGGAGGGGGGAGGGAGGGAGGAGGGAGGAGGGAGGAGGGAGGAGGGAGGAGGGAGGAGGGAGGGAGGAGGGAGGGAGGGAGGGAGGACAGTGCCTGTCTCCAGAAGGATATACTGAGGTCTTTCCTTCCCCTTACATCCCCTCCTCCCTTATGGAAGTGAACCCATTCCAGCGGCTGTAAACATCATCAATATCCTCTCCCATGCTACTTCACTTTCCCACCCACTCCTCCACTGCCGCTCCTTTCAATCCCCCTCCCTTCTCTCTCCTTCCCACCTCAGTTCCTCTCATTCCCCTGTACCCTCCTACTTTGCCACTCCCTCCCTCTCTCCTCTCCTCTCTCCCTCCTGTGCTCTCCACTCCATCCTCCCTCCTCTCCTCTCCTCTCTCCCTCCTGCGCTCTGCATTCCATCCTTCTCCCTCCTCTCCTCTCGGACCTGAAGGTCGTAGATATTTTCCTTTCTTCCGTCCTGCCTCTCGCGGCAAAGGAATCGCTCCTTGTAGTTATCGCATGAGATGTTTTGTGAGCTTGTTGCTACAACTTGCGCGAAGTTGTGATTGCCCACAAACAGTCTCTTGCTATTGGTCGAAAGTCAAGAACAACATCAAGTGAAGAAACGAGGATGAAGTGAAGTTGAGGCAAACAAGTGAGGTTGAAGTAAAGAAGTGTAGATAAAGTAAAGAAGTGGAGGACAGGAAGAAGAGAAGAAGAACACGTGTAGAAGTGGTCCAGACACGAAAGAAGGCGATAAAAGCTGCAGCAGGGATGTGCAAGAAACGTTTTTGCTTTCACCTCGCGCATGTTTGCCCGGCAGTTTTCCGCCTTCTTATGCTCTTCCTCTCACCCTCGCTGCCCGTGAAGCTCCAGGATTGAAAAATCTCACATGACGACAACCAATTGCCGTTGGTGTCTTCTCCTTCCATGGATATCGAGGACAAGGAGGAGGTCGAGGAGGAGGAGGAGGTCGAGGACGAGGAGAGGGATCGCAGGACAAAGGCAAGATACGGATGAGAAATTCCAAGGACAATATCCTGCAATCATGAATCATGAATTGTTAAGAGCATCGTCGTCATCGTCGTCGTCATCATCATCTCTATCATTTCCATCATCATCATCAATTCCATCATCATTATCTCCATCATCAATTCCATCGTCATCATCATCATCTCCATCATCATCATCTTCTTCTTCTCTATCTCCATCATCATCATCATCATCTTCTATCATCATCATCATCATCATCATCTCTATCTCCACCACCAACATCATCATCATC